TTTTTGAGGGTTTTTGGGGGTTTTTTGGGAGTTTTTGAGGGGTTTTGGGGGTTTTTGGGAGTTTTTGGGAGTTTTTGGGGGGTCCGTACCCCGGTGCTCCCCCGGGAGCCGCGTGGTGTCGAAGAGCCGCTCGTACTGAGCCGAGCACGTGGGGAGGGACCCCCGGAACAGCACCTGGGCACCCCAAAACAGCCCAAAATCAACCCAAAACAGCCCAAAACAGCCCAAAATCAACCCAAAACAGCCCAAAATCAACCCAAAACAGCCCAAAATCAACACAAAACATCCCAAAATTAACACAAAACAGCCCAAAATCAACACAAAACAGCCCAAAATCAACCCAAAACAGCCCAAAATCAACCCAAAACAGCCCAAAATCAACACAAAACATCCCAAAATTAACACAAAACAGCCCAAAATCAACACAAAACAGCCCAAAATCAACCCAAAACAGCCCAAAACAACCCAAAACAGCCCCAAATCAACACAAATCAACCCAAAACAGCCCAAAATCAGCCCCAAATTACACCCAAAATCAGAACAAAACTACACCTAAATCAGCCCAAAATTACCCAAAACAGCCCAAAATTACCCAAAACAGCCCAAAATTACACCCAAATCAGAACAAAATTCCACCCAAAATTAGACCAAATCAGCCCAAAATCAGCCCCAAAATTCCTTTTAAACCCCCAACCCCTCCAAATTCCTTTTTAAACCCCAAATTTTCTCCTCTAACCCCCAAATTTTCCCTTTTAACCCCAAAATTTCCCCTTTCAACCCCAAATTTCCCCTTTTTAACCCCAAATTTCCCCATTTTATCCCCAAATTTTCCCCTTTTAACCCAAATTTTTCCCTTTTTAACCCCAAATTTCCCCTTTTTAACCCCAAATTTCCCCTTTTTAACCCCAAATTTCACCATTTTAACCCCAAATTTCCCCTTTTAAACCCAAATTTCCCCATTTCATCCCCAAATTCCCCCATTTCAACCCCAAATTTTCCCCTTTCAACCCCAAATTTCCCCTTTTTAACCCAATTTTTTCCCATTTCAACCCCAAATTTTCCCCTTTCAACCCCAAATTTCCCATTTTTAACCCAAATTCCCCCTTTTTAACCCAAATTCCCCCTTTTCAGCCCGATTTGGGGCTCACGGGGGGCAGGCTCCCGTCCCGGACGCGGCTCCGGAAGCGCAGGAAGGCGAAGGCGACGTTGGCGGCTCGAGCGGCCGGGACCCGCGTGGGGGGCGGCCCCAAAAGGTCCTGGGGGGACCCCAAAATTCAGAACCCCAAATTTGGGGGGTTCAGAGCCTCGGGACCCCCCCAAAACCCCAAAATCCCAAATTTTTGAGGGGTAAAAATCCCAAAATCCCAAATTTTTGTGGGGTTAAAATCCCAAAATCCTGAATTTTGTGGGGTTAAAATCGCAAAATCTGCCCCAAAAACCCTAAAAATTGGGGTGAAGGGACCCCAAAAAGTCCTGGGGGGACCCCAAAATTCAGAACCCCAAATTTGGGGGGTTCAGACCCCAAAATCCTGAATTTTGGAGGGGTAAAACCCCAAAATCCTGAATTTTGAGGGGGTAAAACCCCCAAAATCTGCCCCAAAATCCCTAAAAATTGGGGGGAAGTGACCCCAAAAAGTCCTGGGGGGACCCCAAAAATCAGAACCCCAAATTTGGGGGGTTCAGACCCTTTTTGAGGGATAAAAATCCCAAAATCCCGAATTTTGTGGGGTTAAAATCCCAAAATCCTGAATTTTGTGGGGTTAAAATCGCAAAATCTGCCCCAAAAACCCTAAAAATTGGGGTGAAGGGACCCCAAAAAGTCCTGGGGGGACCCCAAAATTCAGAACCCCAAATTTGGGGGTTCAGACCCTCGGGACCCCCCCAAAAAAACCCAAATTTTGGGTTAAAATCCCCTCCCAAAACCCCAAATTTGGCCTGGGGGAGTTTTCAGGGTTCCCCAAATTCCTTGGAATTTTCAGGGTTTTTTGGGGGCGAGGTCCCGGATTTTTGGGGTCCCCAAATTTGGGGTTTTTTTGGGGGGGGGGGTTCCCCAATTTGGGGGTCTCACCATGAGGTAATAACTGCCCGTGCTGGGGAGGGGTCCCCGAGACCCCAAATGCAGCTGCTCCTCCCACAGCTCGCTCAGCTGGGGGGGAAAAACAAAACTGGGACCCCAAAACTCACCCGGGACACCCCAAAAACACCAAAATCCACTCGAAACACCCCAAAATCCCCCCCCAAACCCCCCCAGGACCCCCC